CCAGGAAAATTAAAAAACCAATAGGATGCAGCTCAAACACAACAAGAACAGCATATGGCAATGCAACAGAAGTAAACAACTGTACAAACACAGGGAGGAAATTGCCCATTCAGTAATAACTCTGCAAAAATTCAAACACATTCTGCAGTAATGACAGGTCATGAACGGGCTGTGTCAGCACACTGCTGTGAAAAAGGAAGCCTCCAACTGGGAAATGCAAAAAGGAGGGACACCAGGACAACACAGAAAGAAACTCCCCTGCTCCAGCTGTTATTGCCAGAGCTTGGCTACTGTGCAATGTCTACTCTTGGCATTCAAGTCCAAAAGGCAAAAGGCAGAATGATTGACAGACCAGAAATGTGATGTCTAAGAAAGCACTGAAGGAACCAACACAGAAAATTTAGAACCACACCAATTTAGAAAAGAAAGTAGGCCTAGACTACGTTAGCCTAGACTACTACAATGTTGGCCTTCAAAGAACTAAAAATTGCTTCCAGAAAGAAATGGGAAGTGGGAAAGGAAGGGAAGGCAAGGCAAGGCAAAGCAGGGCAGGTAAAGCAGGGCAGGCAAAGCAGGGCAGGCAAAGCAGTCTTCAGGGAAATTCAGCTCCACAATGGCTTTGATACCAGGCCCTGTCCTGTGATTGCAGTTTTTCCCTGATCAGTCTCAGAAACCACTCACTCAACTCTTCCTCATATGTTAGGAATGCCCAAGGTTTGCTGGCTACTCCACATTCCTCCAGGGTCCTGTTTTTTAGGTAAGCTGTAGGGAAGATGGTGCCAGAGCTCTGCTCCTTGAGCCTCGGTCTGCCTCAGAGGGCATGGGCACTTGGCAGTGACTGCCACTTCTCCTCCCTCCCTGAACCAAGTGTTGGGTATGCAGAGACATTTCCCACTGTGCCCACAGTAATCCCAGTCCATGTGGCTATCAGGCACTCTTGGGGAAAACATTTCAGGCACGACTATTTTTGATTATGATCCTGTGGCCTGAGCTCCCCCAGCCTGGGCTTGTTTGGTTTAAGAAGGAGCCAAGAAAGTGCTGCTGACAGGGCAGTTACCAACCACCATGCAGGACATGAAACAGCAGAAGGCTCATCCCCACTAGCCCAGGACAACCTCTATAAAGAAACCACCACAGGTTTGAGCTATGACACAGTACACCCTGTTCCTCATGGCATTCTCCCCTTGCAGCACAAACTCCTGCCCCAGGACTCTCCGGGACACCTGCAGTGCTCTGGGCACAGGCTGAGCCAGGGACAGCCAGGACAGCTGCAGCAGCCCCGGCATGACCAGAGCCCGTCGAGGCAGGGGACCTTGGCTGCAGGGCTTTCCCCATGGCAGCGATGGAGGCAAAGCAAGGATGGGCACAGCACTTTTGGCAGGGCTGACATCTCAGGGAAGAAAGACAAGTGAATGGGCGGGAATTTGTGGAAGACCGAAGTGTAAACACGACAGGAGAAGGAAGCTCCTCCCTGGCTGAGGCACCAGGGAGCCACCCCAGGGCCCAGCTGGTTGTTAGGACAGGACTCACGATGGTCCGAAGAGGAGGCAAATTTCTCTCCACAAGGAGTCCAGCTCTGCTGTGCTGACTTTTTAAGCTGAAAGTCGGTGGGACAGGGCTCAGGAACATCAGCTACCAGCTGCCAAAGGGCGCCGGTCGGCCCTGGCGCAGGGCCGTGTTCGGAAGGAGAAACGCTGCCGTGCCAGCCCTGAGGGCCGTGCCCCGCTCCGCGGCCCCACGCGTGGGCTCGGCCGTTCCCGCAGGTTTTGCTCCCATCTAGCGGCGGATCCCGGCTCCACACGGCGCTCGGAGCCCGGAGGAGGCAGCCCGGGGTCCGCAGCTCGGCTCGGGCCGCGGCAGTCAGAGCCCCTCGGTGCCGAGCGGGCACAGGCAGGGCCGGGGCTGGGGCTGCCCTGAGCGTGGGCCCTGTGCCAGGGGACCCGCACGGCTACGGGGTCATCCCTCAGCCTGCGCCCTGAAGGGTTCTCCCCCCTCTCCCACAGTGGAAACTCATCTTTAACATCTACCCCAGGTTCTGCCCGAGCTGCAACACCTGGGCTTATCCTCCTCCCCTTTCCCGGACCCTCCTCTCCCTCCAAAGTTTGGACCATGCTGGATGAGACCCCAGCAGACATGGGCACAATGGGCCGTGGACCATGTGGCACCATCAGCAGGAGCCGCAGCAAGTGTCTGGGAATGAAAATTTGGATCTTTCTCAGCACTGAGCAGCCTGGAAGGAAATAAAATTACATCATTCCTCATAGCACAAACCCATTTTGTTGGGCACAAAAGACCAGTGTGGAGAAGTTCAGAGGGTAGAATACAGTGAATAAAAAAAACCCCAAAAACTAATACTCATCTGTGAACCAAGATAGGCTTTATAATTTTTCCAAAACCCTGCAAGGGTATACAATATAACAAACAGCTCTAGACAGTTTGCTCTTGCAAGTACTTTGTCCCAGCCCTGAAACACAGGGGTTTTCCCAGCAGCTGCTTTAAACTCCGTCAATTTTTTTAAACTGCTGGCAGACTGGCACCACTTTTAGAACAGCCCATTGGGTCAATAGGCAATGGTCTCACACAGGCTGTGTGAGCCAAGCTGGACAGCACAGGCAACCACAGCCCCTGGAGCAAGGGGCAGCTCGGGGATGGCAGCTGGGACCAGGCTGAAAACCAGGATAGCAGTAGGAGACAGGAGAGTTAGAAGGTGTGAAGCTGGCAGCTGGAGCTCAGAGAAATGGAACCAGGGCTCCTGAAAAGCAAACAGGAAAGGCAAACCCATGCAGGATTATTTCTTTTGGCTGCTAATTTGCTGTCAGTGGAGCCATATGATGAGGTGGTGGGGAGTCACCCAGGGGTGAGGGCAGAAACCCATCTTCAGGTGCCCATATGGCCTTAGGTCAGATTAAGCCAATTAAACCTTATCCTAAAGCCCTTTACTGCAGCAGGAAGCCCAGCTGCCGTGGAGTGAGAAGAAATCAGGTTCTTGGGTCCTGGCTCTGCAGCACTGCCTCTCAACCTCTCCTCTCCACACTCACAAGCTCCAGCTCTTTCTGTAAAGCACAGGACACATCCCACCTATCCTGCTCATCACTGTCTTTCACAATCTTCCCATAAACCTGCTGGTTGTCTTATGTGGCAGGCAGACACATTTAAGTGCTCTGTGCATCCTACTTTACAGCAGAGTTGAGCTCCCAGTGTTTTGTTGTCCTGCAAGTCACACTCTGCTAAGGGGCCCCTCACAGCCCACACAAATGATACATCATGTAGGAATATTTCCCTGTAATGCCCCATAATAATAAGGCAGATAATAAACATGAGAGCCACGGCCCTTTCCATGTCCCAGTGCCACTAGATGGCACCAGGAGTGTACCCTTCCCAGCCCGGGTGTTCCCAGAGCCGCCGGGGGAAACTGGGGAATCCAGCCCAGCCCTTCCATTCTACAGAGTCAGAGACCTCAGCACTCGCCTCCTCCTCGTCTTTTCTCCAGGGACCGTGGGGTGCTACAGTAAAGGCAGGCATTTCAGCCTTAAAAATCAACCTTTAGTGATGTGCCGGGGGGAATAGCCTGTGGTGGCTTTTGCCATGTTGCCTGTCACACACACACCCCTTTCCCCACCTGTGGACCAGGCATCACTCCCAGCTGGGCACTGGAGAGGAAAGCCTCAAAGGTGGGTGCAAGTTATTTTGATTAATATTGGGATTAGTGTATGAGATTCCCATCATTGACAGGCTCCTTTTGGGAGGAACAGGAATAAAACACAATTTACTATATAATTTTGCAATCAGAAGGTTTGCCTTCTCTAAGGCCTCACAGTTTTAGAGATTGATTCTCCTCATGCACAGTTGATATCCAACAGAGCTCAGCATGTCCCAGAGTGTTACCTGTGGTTTTCGCTATCAAGCCCTCCATTCCGTGTCACATCCTTGGCAAAGCCACTAAACAAACCAGGGAAGAACAGGCAGCACCTCAGCAAATGTCAGGTCTTTCCTCAGACCTTGCAGCATAATTAAGGAGCATCTGCTTTCCACTGTCCTCAGCATCAAGCCTGAAGGTGACCCTCAGAAATGGCAGCTCAAATGAGGGGAATACTGGTGAGGCTCTGTAGCAACACTTCAAAGCAGCCAGGCAAGCCCTGGCCCCCAGCAGCTTGGGGCACTCAGGTGACAAATCATTGCTCATCACAGAGCCCTTCTGCCCAGAGCAGGGCTGGAGAGGTGATGGAGCACAGCTTCCAAAAGAGCCAGAGCAGCTTGTCACTCCTTCCTGCCCACATCCCAAGCTTGCTGTGTCTGGGTGATGGGTGAGCATGGCAGTGGTACAGCCCTTGTGCCAAGGGGATCCCAGTGAAACCTTAAATGAAAAGGGAGTGGGAGAGAGACTTTGTGCAGGGAGCCTCTGAGTGATGCTACCCTGCTCACAGAGGTGGAGTCTCTGGAAGAAAGGCCAAGTGGGAGATGCATAGCACAGCTCCATGGTGGTGCTGGCAGGCAGGCAGCAATGGCAGGGCTGTCCCTGCCCACATCCCAAGGCCACAAGATAATCCTACAGGAGAATCCTGAGTGTGACCCTGCTTCCCAGCCCTCTTCAGAGAGTGGCACAAATCCCACACAAGCGCTTTAACCCCAGCTTAGGGTGAAAGCTAGAAAGGAGGAGGCTGGATCACTTGGGAAGTTCAGGTCACACAATCAAGTGGGTTAAAATCCTTCATCCATTCCATCAAACAAGGCAAATCTCTCATCCTCCTTCCCTGCAGCCTCTCCTCCCCTCCCTGATCACCTCAGGCAGTCCTAGGGAGTGACCCAGCATCCCCTTGCCACTGCCTCCCCTCCAGGGAGCCTCCCCACACACCATCTGCTCTCCACAGGTGACTTGTGGGTACCCAAGGACATCCCTCCCACACCATCTTCCTCCACACCAGCCTGCCTTTCCCCATCATCCCCAGCCAACACCCCTGGGCCCTCTGGCTCTGAAAAACTTCATTAAACCTCATGGACAAACTCAAGTCTTTATTTGGTCTCTCAATGAGTGGATGTTTTCACACATGGTGCAAAAACTTGCTGCCACAAAACCTCATTGATCTGCACACAGCGATGGCAAGCCTGGTGCCCCTCAGGGCTCCCAGCTGCTGATTCCAAGCAGAACACACCCTTGTGTAGCTGCAGATGTCAAACAGCACAGACACACATCGACATCGACATGTGCATGGCCAGAGCTGTCCACATGCTGAAGGATTATTTTTAGCCCAACAGTGATGGAAATGTCAGAGAGAGTTTTATTTATTTTCTCTGGAAGGCTTGTTGGTTGAAATTCCCATTGGCAGAGGCTGACCCTGACCCTGCCATCACAATAGGGTCTGTCATCCAGGTCTGACATCCCTTCCCTGAAAAAATGTGCAGTTCAGCAGGAGGGGAGGGTGACTGGCCCACAGTGCCTGGCAGGGCTGACAGCCTTCAGAAGGCAGGTGCTTATCCAGCCCTGCAGCCCAACCCATGCCCACCCAGCCAGGCTGTAGCTCCCCCAGATTCCCCAGCCTTCCCACATCCCAAGGGGAGCTCTCACTGCAGCCACAATGGACAGCTATGAAATGTTAGAGACACCAGCACTGGCCTTTTGAGCAGCCAGGCAGTCAGGAAGGGCAGGCAGGCCATGGGATGCTCTCACTGCCCTTCAGTGACATGAGGGATGAAGTGTAACAGAGCCAAGGTCTCCCGGTGCCCTGAAAGCACACAGAGGACTCCCTGGAGATGGAGTAACCTGTTTCTTCCTTCTCCTCTGACACTCACCCCGCACTCAGCACTGCACCAGGAACAAAGCTAATGACAATTACAAACCTGCCCTGGTTCATTTCCAGGACCCCATCTGCACTGAGGGCTCTGGGATGGGGCACCTGTGTCCCTGGGGTGATGGCACAGCACTGCAGAATATGGCAGCACCCAGCTGGGTCTGCACTTCTCAGGGTACCAGGGCATGACATGTCCCCTGCTACACACAATGACAGGTTATGCTCAAATTTTCCTTCTCCTTGCGAGGGTGGCAGACTCGAGGGGGGATGGCTGCTCAGAAAAGCACTGGCACATCTGAGGTAGAGTTTTTTGCTTGGTTATGGTCTCAAAGAGGAGCAGTAATGGCCTATATTCACACAGTGGCAAAGGAGGGCCTTGAAGCACATCCCACTTGGGGTCTGTGACCAGTCCATAGATAACCAGGAAGAAAAATCAGTGTTTTTCCTTCAGAACTGCCTATTTACATCTGAAAACTAGCAGAGACCTTGCCCAGAGGCTGGGACAAAGAGCCTGCTTCCCATGAGCTTTTCTCCTCTGTCTCCAAGAGGAAATTTCCAGTAACTGAAGTATAAAAATTAATGCAAGACTATGCTCCTGAGCCAGCTGTAAAACTCACACAGGAAGAGCTCCCCATCCCACACCTCACCATGGCAGGCTGCCCCCAAAACAGGTCACAGCCTTCATGAGGGAGGGAAGAGGCAGCTCTCTCTGCACCCTCCTGGTGCAGGTCAGGCTTTGGGGGGTAAACTGAGGTGCCCAGACCTGCAGGCATTGCCAGCACAATCAGCCAGGCAATATTCCCTAACAGAGGCCTTGGATCCGTCAGGAGGTTGCAATGCTGGGACAGCATGTGGTGCAGCAGTCCCTGGTTCCATTGGAGATTTCATGGAACAAGGGGTGGAAACAGAGAGGAATTCAGTGAGGGGAAACCCTCCTCCACACTTGCCACATCCTGGGAATAACCACCAGGACTCAGCTGAATGGCAGTCTCTAGGAAATCTTGAAGAAATGTCTTTCAACCATATCCCATTCATCTTCCTCCTGGACTTTACATATAAGATTGGGATTTGAACCTCATGGTTTTCCTGCAAAAGTGCAGAAATTTTGTCTTCCATGGCTGACAGGCTTCTCCATGCATCCAGCTGCATGTGAAGCTTTCAAGGAGCTGTGTTTGCAGACACCGGCACAGTAGAGCAAGGCCTCATGTTTCTCCCAGCAGGCCTGAGGGAAGGCAAGAAAAAAGCTGGGTAATTAAATAGCACTTGTCAGAACATGTGCACGAGTCAAACAGCAGAACCATCCCTCCTGTGCACACTCTTGCATGAGGCTGTATCCACACTTATCTGCTGAAATCCTCACTTCCTGGGCTAAGCAATCCATGGGCAGCACCCCCATTGCTGCCTGCTTTCCCCAGCCAAACCTTCTCACTCCTCTTCTGGAAGGACATTTCGTGCTAACATGAAACAACCAAAACCAGTGCTTTTCCAAAGTCCTGCCAACTCCATATACAGGAGGGAGAAATGTGTTTCTGGCTAGGAGGAAGCAGCTGGTTCTCAGAGAGCCTACAGGTCACACCCCAGAGCATAGCAGCAAAATCACAGGGCTGGCATGGAAGGAGGAAGGTGGCACATCCCATAACTGATTTCACCTTTACTGATATCCCTGGACTGGGGTGAGGCCACCAAACTGTGCTAGGCATGTGTGTCCACCACACTGCAGAGTCAGCTGGGTCTGCTGGGATTTGGGAGCCTATTTACCCAAGGACTTTCAGCAAACAGGAGATTCAGGGACTTACCAAGGCTTTAAAAACTTGTTCCTCAATACCTTTACAAAGGCAAAAGTGACACTATGGGTAATTTCTTTAAAGCAGAGTATAAACATGGGTGCCTGACAGCCAGTTTATTATATCAGAATCAGTTTTCATTAGGAGGGGAAGCTTTTTTGCTTATTAATTGTTTCTCTAATTGCTTTCTCTCCCTGTTACCAGGACAGCCTGCTGTCTGCCTGTGCCTGGAGGGCAGAGTCCTGCATACCTCATCCCTGATCTGCTAACATGGGTAACTATAAATAAATAGTGACACCTGAGAGGGGAGGAGGAAAGGGACTGTGCTTCTCAACCTCAGTCTAGTCAGCTTATGCAACAGAAGGTAACTGCTGACAATCTGTAGTTATTGACTGAGCAGGATAATTTCTGATAGCTGAGGGCTCTGACCTGGCCAACATAAAACAAAATTCTCTACCTCTGAGCTGGAGCTGGATAACTTTGGACTAGCAAGAAGTTATCAATTATTTAAAGTAAAGAAAATAGCTGCATGTTCTCCACTAAGCAGTATTTTAAATCCATGAGGAACTGCTTAACTTTGAAATCTGCTGCAACTTGGCCCCCTTCCCCTCACAAAAAAAAAAAAAAGAAAACAAAAAACAAAACACCCATTTGTGATTATGGAGGATTCTCTTGGGAGACTGAAAGGTGACTGCAAGTACCCCAAATGAGTCTTGGCAATTCTCACCATTGGATTTAACTCTTTGCAGTGCCAGTCATCCCTCTGTTTTTAACCCTCCTTCCTTCTGCCATCAGCTGCTGCTTCTGCCAGTACACAGTGGGTACACTTGCCTCTGGCTCTCACAGCACAGCACACTCAGCTAAATGGGGCCAAGCCTGGTTTAATTAATGTCGCTGTCATGGAGGGGGCAGTGGTGGGGCTCACATATCCCTCCCCTTGGCACCAGAGAAGCAGGAGGATCACAGAGAGGATCCTCCTTGGCTTGTCCTGCTAGGAGGCAACAGCACCTGCCTGGGAGACTGTGCCCAGGCTGAGGTTAAGAGCTGGGAGGGAGGGGATGCTGCAGAGAGACCTTGCTGCAGGGACACACAGACAGGAGTGAAAGATGGGGAGGAAGAGCCAGCCCTGTCTTCTCCTTTGTCCCTGCTGTAACCTGAATCACTCATCTAAGAATTCAGCACCCTGCACTGCCTCCAACACGATCCTGCAGGGTGTGGAAGCCTGCAGGAGAGAAAGGGAAGTAGAGCCAGTGCATGGAGCAATGAGGGCCCTGGGGAGGTGAGGCTACAGCTCCACCTCCCTGTAAGAAGTGTGCCTGGGCAGGTACACCTTACACACAAACACACTCACACACACCCACCTTTGCTAACAGCAGAGGCAGCCACAGAGTCCACATTTTCTAGGTTTTACTTCTATATCTGCAAAAAGCAAATTTGCTTCTGTTTCCGATTCCCTGCAATTATCATGAAATGCCTTCAAGAGAGCAGCTCTGTCTTCTCGGCTGAGCGAATCTTTGATGTCCAGCACTGCACTCAGATGTTCCTTCCTTTCCAAAAGGACAAGAGGACAGTAAGTGAATGAGCCAAGAAAAAAAAACCCAAACATTTGTTTCCTATCCCTGAGTTTTGCTGGACCAGACCAAAGATTGGAAGCTGCTTTTTGACACCCTCTGGCTATCTAACAGGGAGGCCGTATCCCAAGAGCTGTGTGGGACAGGGCTTAGCTCATGGGTCCCAAGCCCAGAGCCCACAGCATCCCTTTGAAGTATTGAAAATGTTCAGTTTAGGTTATTCCTAGAAAAAGACCTGTATCTATCATAATAGGATTCAGATAACTCTACATTTGACCATTTGGAGGCATTTTTTATATCTTTTCTCCCTTCAAATGGAGCCAATTCTTGTTCATCTGGAAGGTTACAGGATTTGTGTTCTACAGAGCACTGTTCCCCTCAGCAGGGAAATACTGTATTGGATATAAGGCAAACTTATGCGAGCCAAACAGTTTGAAACAGAGAAATCTGTTTTAGTCAGCAACAATGCATCCACTCATGCCAGGATGACCTCCTCTGAGATCTGGGTCCTCTCAGAACTTTCTATGCCCACTTCCTATACTATGTATATACATATATATATATATCATTGCTATGCCGTATCAGATAAGCAGCTTTTTAGCTCAACAGCATCTTCAAAAGTAGTAAAGAAAAAAAGAAGTAAGAAACCAGATGAAGCATAACATAATCTCTTTGTCTTTCTTTTTATTTTTTTTTCTTTGCCTATAGCAGTCCTTCCTAGAAAAGTCTAGAGACTTCCCTTGCTGCAGGTTTATATGATGATTGTCATGTTGAATAAGCACTGAAGTAATTATCTGCCACAAATTGTCTGCCCACATTTGAAGGTATTCACACTTTTGGCCTTCAGAGCATCCTGTGACAGAGAGTTTTACACTGCAATCATGTTTAGTAGGAAAAACACAGGCACAGCATATCAGAACAAAACATAGATGCAGTAAACCACAGCCTTTGGGAAAAATGCAGTTATCCAAGATCTCTCCTTCCTAGTAAAACCTGTGTTTCAATTCTGTTAAATTTTCTGTAAGAAATACAAGTGTATATTCCTGCTGAATACACCTAGAAACTTCTGAAAATAGTTATATAAGGTGTGGTGAAGTGTTGAAGCCAAAAGCCAAGTGTTTGGAAGTTATGAAATGTCCAAATTAAGGATGTTCTTGAAACCTACATTTGACACATATGTTCCTGTAAATTCTGCATTAAGGTAGTACTTTTCCACAGCATTTCTGCTTTGTTGACAGCAATTTCATCCATCCTCCACCTTTACAGGAGGACATCTCAACTTCAGCAGTTCATGTCTGACAAGGATATAAACCAGACACCAGTGAGTACATTCAAAGGGTCACTGTGCCTGGCCCAACACACTGCAAAACTATCACAGGACTAATATTGCTGTAGGTCTTCTGGTTTCAAGTAACCATGTAAGAAAATACAGAAGTCAAAGCAATCAAAGACATTACCTGAGGTCAGGAAATTCTTTTAGAATGGGCAGAAGTGCTATCTTCATCCCCTCAGGATCAGAAGTTTGAACAAGCTCTAAAATTGCTTTTATGGGATCCTTGAGAGAACCAGCTGCAGGACCCTGGGGAGAAAAGCAATGTTGTGTTCAGGGCAGGAGAAACAGCACAGCACATTAAGAGCTGGACTCATGTCAGACTGGGGATCTCTCTGTGTGGGTTAGGAGCTTTGCAGGAGTGTCTGTGCATGTATAGAAATCTGATTTTACCCCAGGATAACAGAAAAGGACCTGGGGAGTAGCCACAGACTGCTTCCAGGGTGGCTTCTTCAGCAGTGCAGAACCCCCTCCTGCACTTCCTTTGGCAAAGCTGGCAAATGTTATCTCATTTGTCCCTAAACTGCCTTTCCTTTCAGGGCCATTTCACCTCGTGGGATGTGGTTTGCCTCTGGAGGTAAGCACAGCCCTGTGCTTGATCTGTGTGAAAACAAGCCTTGTTGGCCAAACCTGCTGGCATTTCTGCCCCCACAAAGCAAGCCCAGGGACAGAAAAGCAACCTTAGGGAGAGGATGAGAGAACACAGATCCTCTAATAGAAAAAAGTGGGAAACAGGGCTGGACAGTGTAGAAAACATGACATGGTTGGTAGGTGTTGCACACAATGATCTCCCTCTAATCTGGAGCATACAGGAGAAAAAAGTCTCATCAAAAAACATACAGCATTTTTAGCAGAGCTGGAGAAACAGAATGCAGATGAACCACCAGGAAGAGAGCTTCAGGTCTTGCTCACATTTTTCATCAGTGCAGTAATGCAATTTAATTGCTTCCCTGAATTATTGATGCCACCACGTCAACAGAGACTGTGACAAAGCAAACCTGGAGAACAGGCTGCCAAACTGGGGCAGGAGAAGCCCAGGTTCCCCTGATCTGCAGGGGGCATTAGAAACAGCTGGTCACATTCTCCATGCAGCTCCTCTGCAATGAACATAAATTAAAAATAATAATAATATTTGAAGACAGCCTTCCCCCTCTCTCCCTGCAGTGCAGGCACACAGCATGTCTAGCTCTGCTCAGTGCACAAGCTGTACTCAGCTCCTGAGGCACTGGTACTGTACAGCTTCATACTTGGCAAGCTCACTATTACAAAATGCTAATTAATTTGAAGGCGTCAGATTTAGTTAAGCACTGCATAGGCAGGCAAGGTCAGAGGTAAACAGCCTGCAGTCTAAAGGGAAAAAAAGGAGGTGCTTTGTCAGCAGTGTTTAAGTGCCTTTGACACGTACTGCTCTTAGGAGAGAAGCAAGGTATTTCCTAATGTGTTTTGAGAGCAGAGGGAAAGGAAGAGCCCAGAGAGAGGGCAGAGCAGGGCAGGGAGCAGGTGCAGCCTGTGCAACAACTGCATGATAAATTCAGTCTGCAGCAGAGTTGATATTTGGCATGCAGAACCGTGAGCCTCATGACTGAGGAGCAGGCTGTCCCCTGCAAATCTCCTGTGCATTTCACCTCCAAGGCTTTCAGTGCTCTCACATCAAGTCAGAAAGTGCACACACTGAGGACACTGGGAAAAACGTTCTAACCAGATGCAGCTCTTTTTCACCCAAGCTCAATGTAGGGTTTTAACAGATAATTAGATTTCCTCTATTTCCTTTGCACTGTTCCATGCACATTACATCCAAAGCTGATGCTGAGCACAGCAATTCTGGTAAACTTCAAAGTTAAGATAAGAGATCCTTCCTGCTATTCCCCATGTCTCAACTGCTGAAAGCATTTATTCATCTGTGATCGATCACTCCAAGAGAGGTGGGTCTTCAGCTAAAAGCACTGGCAGCTCCCAGCTTTCTGCCATGAATCTAATGCATTAATTATAATGGGTCTGAGAGGATTTTAGAGAAGCCTACAGACGATCATTTCTATTTAATTTTATTCATTGGACAAGGTAAGGATTGCTGACATATGGCTTGCAGGGACTCATCTGTGAGAAAATAGATTTTCAGTCCCTAGCACTTAAATAGACAAGTTGTGAGAATGACTCAGCATTTGTGAAATCTTTAAAACCAGTGCAGCCAAGGGGGTTTATATGCTGTCACATCTGAGTCCTGTTACCAGACTGACTTTGCAACCACTGCTGTGCTGCTCAGCCCAGCCCCTTGTGGAGAACCATGCCTGGGCACTCTCAGCCTGCATCTGCTAATGAGCCATGCCAGGGACATTGCATGGCAGTGATTCTCCAACTGCACCAGCTGAAGGAGGGGACACTGCTGCCAGGGCAGTCCTGGCCCTTGGGTAACCCAGGGACTCATGTGACAGCCTGGTGGCACCCACAGATGCTGTGTGCAGCACTGCCAATTACACCAGATTATGAGGTGAGACTTTCTAAAGCTTCTGAAGCTGTTTCTGCAAATCAGAACCAGCACTTCTGCACAAGTTTTCTTCAGAGGTGTGGCTCTGTTTTTACACCCAATATTCTGCAATGTGCCTTCACCTCCTAATGGTGTGAGGTGTTTAGCCCTGCAGGAAGACTCGTTCCTTCCCACAGCCATCAGCAACCACAACAGCATCAGCATGTTTTTGCCATGAGGAAATGCCAGAGCACAGGGAAAAGGCTGAGGCAGCCATCATCCCAGCTCTGAGGGGCTGGGAAGAGCCTGTGGGGAGGGAGGAGGCTGGATGGAGGGGTGGCAGTGCACACCCCATGCCCAGGGAGGAGCAGCCTTACAGGGCAATGCACAGAGCAGGTGGAGGTGTGGAGCAGCCTGTTTGCTTCATCACTCCAGAGGCTCCAGGGTAAGCACTGCCACCCCATGCCAGGTACCAGAGGCCTGATGGGGGGAGCTGGCAGCTTTGGAGCTGTCTCAGCAGCTCAGAGGAGCACACCTCATTCTTGTGTCAGTGGCAGCAGTGCAAAACTTGCATCTTCCAGTCATACATTTCAAAACCATGAGCTAACAGCTTCTGACAGATCAGAAGAGCTGTCAGCATATCTGAATGTCATTTCAGTGAAGCTTGATACCCCTGTGGTAAAAATTCTTAAGCTTTTTTGCAGTCTTCAGAGTCTCTTCCTCTGCTGGTATTGTTCTTGATGACAAAGAGCAAAACTGTAACCATATCAAAGACTTACTAAGCACTCTTTAAAGATGGTTTGCATCATCCTATGATCTTCTTCTATCTTGTTGACAATCCTCCTCCTCTGCATAGCAGATGTTTTCCTGGGAGTGGTCAGGAGGGCCTGCATGTATTCTGTAATAATGATGGCAATGACAGCCTTGACCAGGGCCTGTTCCAGAGCAAAGATACCCAGATTAACTTCCCTGCACTGAGCAAGGCTCAGCCACACCTGTACCAGGGTAGAAGGCAGATATTCTGCCCATGCAGATGGCTGGCCCATTTCTTTGCTTAAATATTCATTTAAAATGCTTGATCCAACACTTGAACTATCTCCAAGCTGCATGTGGATCACAAAGCTTGATGGCAAGTGTGGAGACATCAAATCAAAAGCAATGGGACCAGTTAGCTGAGCCAGAGGTCACTCACACTCCAGAGCTGCAGCAACACTTGGCTTGGCTAACAAATTATCACCTGGGGAGAGCTTGGGCTGCAGACAAAGCCAGATGCAGCCTCCCTCGAGCATCTACACCTGACACAGGGCCCTTGGGCACACAGTTGTGGCTGGGCACAGAGAAGTCACCTGGGCAACTCCTTCTTAGCTCCCAGTACCAGCTGAGGAACCCCAGAGCAGAGGCCATGCAGTGCCTGACAGGGACAGGGAGTGTTTCTGCTGGGGGTTGCTGCACAGAAACCACATTTTGTTAGCAATTGAAATCAGAGCAGGGTTAGGCTGCAGTCCAAAGGTACAGGAAATCCCCAGCTCTGTCCAAAACAGACAAAGCAAGAGACAGAGAGCTCTGGCACAGAGTTTCACCACTGAGCTGCTGCTTGCCCCAGCACTAATGTGACATAATGTCCAGTGACAGGCTTTGAACAACAGCAGAATAGATCCTACTTTTTTCTCTTCCATTACTTTTTCCATATTGCAAAATGTTAATTAAAATCATCACTGACAAAGAGACTGCAGACCTGGGAGTCCCATGCTTAGGAGGATACATGGCACATGTAGCAGCAGCAAATCCAGCCTGCACAAAAGAGAGGATTCCCCAGGTACCAACCTCATTGCTGAAGAGATAGACTCAAGGGTGCTGTAAGATCCTATAAAAGTTGTTTAGGCCACTGTAAAGGTGAAAAAACTTGGGTACTTTGTGAGGTTGTTTGCCAATTACTCTGCATGAGACACTGTGCCCTTTAAGAATTTGCACTTTTCACCCCTCTGTAGCCACTCTACATCAAAGGGATCAATAGTCCTTACAAATAAGGTTGAAACACATTAGAAGCTGAGAAAATTTCCAATATTATGATACCGGGGCAATGGTAGGAGAGGAGGGAGCCCAAGATTCCCCTCTGTATTTGGGAGGTACATTCAGTTTCCACATTTCTTCACTTGTTGGTTTCTCTGCTGAAATTACAGGAAGGTTCCAGCTGTCACTACCCAACCCTGGTGGATAGAGGTACTGGACTGAGACCACCAGATACTTAAAAGCCCATTTGACAACAGAGAAAACTGCAGTTTAGATTAATTTTCTAGTACTGTGCCATCCAAAGGTTCAATTACTAGTTTTAGTGATTTCACAAAGCAGAATGGTTTGGGTTGGAAGATACCTTAAAGATAATCTAGTTCAAAATCCCCTGCCATGGGCAGGGACACCTTCCACCAGAACAGGTTGTTCAGGACTCCATCCAACATGGCCTTCAACCCTTCCAGAAATGGGGCATCCTCAGCTTCTCTGGGCAACTTCTGCCAGCACCTCCACACTCCCACAGCAAAGAACTTCCTCCTAAAATCTAATCTAAACCTATTCTCTTTTAGTTCCATTCCCCCTTGTCCTTTTACTACATGCCCTTGGAAAAAATCCCTCTCCATCTTTCTTGTAGGATGATTTCCTGAGTAACATATTGTTCTCACTTTCTTACTTATTTCTTACCTCATATATATCTGTTTTTTTCTTCCCAAAGGTCAAAAAGTTTTGCTTTAAGGATTCAAGGATGTGGTCAAAACCACTGTCACACTTTTTGAAGTGGTCCTTCAGTGTTCCCTGAGGAAAAGAAAGAGACAGAGTCAAAGGGTGAACATGTAGAGACACCAAACAAACAACAGACACAGATTATTGTGTCTTTGCTCTTTCTGCTCTTGGAAACAGACTTCCCCACCAACTGCAGCATCCTGTGTTTTTATTTCAAAGAAAATCAAAACATGAAAGAAAGAAACAATTCCAACTCAGGAAGGATGTACTAAGTTCTTAAGCCCAAACCTGGAAGACTGAAAACCTGGGCCCTTGGCCTCCTGTCCCCCACCCAGGGTTGCTGGTGCTCTGTCAGGATCACCCCCAGTTCCCACACAGATGTGTGGGCCCATGGGACAGGCTGGCAATGAGCTCTGAGACCAAAACTGTGCGGTGTAGCCGGAGTTTCTCCTGTCATTTTCCTTTTGCTGCCTCCAGCGTGCCCGAGGGAGCCTGTGCAATGAGGCTGGAGATGCTCAGGGGAGCTTCCCAGGGAAATGCACAGGATCACACACTGTCAGGAGCCTGGAATTCTGTGTTTTCCAGACACAAGGCTGAACAGTGCCTGAGCTAACAGACTGATAATAGAAAGTGTGAAGGGAGGGGACTTTATCTCAAGGGAGGGACACATTTCTGGTCAGCCTTCTCTACATCCTGATTGCCCAACAAAGCCCTGGGCTCTGTGAGTTATCACTGTCCTGGGAAGATGCCCAGCTGCTGGGAATTAATGGTTACCAGATGAAATTCAGCTTTTTGGGCTCTGGGCAGCACAACAGCAAGCACTACAAACAGTGAAACTGGGGTCCCAAAACTGGAAAATGTGAAGCTGTCCACATACAGATTCTTACAAGGCAGAGGAGAATACCAGGCTTGAAGGCCAAACTATGGCTTCACCTTTTCCAAATCAGGACATGAGAGGGAAGTGCACGCCAGCCATATGGTCTGTAAATAGTCAGAATTAAAATGAGTCTTCCATACCTTGACTTTAGAAGTGATGGTCTGCAGAAAATGCTCCATAATGTCATCTTCCATCCTGTGTAGGAATCCATTCACCTTACCATTCTGCTCAGTGCTGACACTGCAAATGTACGTTAGCTTATGCCAGACAGTTCTGTTTAAAAAAATAAATATGGAAAGTATTGATCAGATCAAATCATGCTATTCTCTCAGATCAAAGCTCTTTCTACTGTAACCAACACAGCTGCCTGGGTCATTGAATGGACACATGCTCAGGTCCAAAGCTAGCTCAGTGATCTGAATTTGTGTGCTCATTAAGACACTGACACAAGGGCACAACGTGCAAATGCCACTTGTACCCATCACTAGTGAGATCAGATCAATAAAAATTCTAGTATTTTCAAAAATGAGCAAGCATGAAACATCCTTGACAAACAGAGTCTGGGTGAGCATCCCATGTGCCTTTGACAATCTACAAATACAAGAAAAACAATTATCTTCCATCAGAACAGTCTTCCAGTCAGCAAATCCTGGTTAAAATTATCACCAGCTTGAAACCAGACATCCTACATTCTGGAAAGGCTCAGTGCACAACTTCATTCTCAGTAAAGCTGTGAAGGATTACATAAAAGAGACTCATAAGTATTCAGTCTAGGATCCAGCATCAGCAACATGCAAATACAACAAACAAAGCAGTTACCTAGGCTCAACACAAGGCTCTGATGTCAAGTAATCACTGTGCATATGTTGGATTTTGGCATTTTGCTGACTCCAGAGATCCCTGGATAACTTTACACAGGAAGAAGAGAAGCAACCTTGTTTTCTCCGCTGCTGCAAGTGCTTCTGAAATTAGCTTGTAGGTGCAAACATCCTCCTCCACCCTTCTGTGCTTTACTGCTTCCCTCCTTCCTAGCAACCCCAGGGAAAGCCTGGCATGTTCCTTGGGGTTTCATTCAGCAAGGCACTTAGGATTGCACCTACCAAGTGCAGTAGCACACACATCTCAGCATAACCTTTATGCAGCTTTCCTCCTGGAGGACGATCAGGCCAGGGAAAGGAAGGATATCACAACCCACCATGGGGTTAGCCAGGATGGTGTCCCCACACATGACACAGCACTGCTGCCTCCTGCTCAGTGCAGGAAGGGGGAGATGGCTGCAACCCCTGCACCTGCAGGGCCTGGGAGCAGGCAGAAAGTGGCAGTACAGCCCTGTAACCCTGGCCACAGCCACAGCCCCCATCTCAGCCTCCCTCTTGCTGGGGCAGCCAGGGCAGCTCTGCAGGAGTGTTGCTGACAGCAGCTGGCTTCCTCCATGTTTAAAGGCTGGTGTGCACAGGGTTGGATGTCCATACCCAGCTGGAGGCAAGGTTAGCCTCATACCAGAGTCAGAAGGAGATCAGAGCAGCAGAAAACTCGTTTTGCTCCCCATGTCATGAGGCCCTGTTCTCTAACCTGAGAAGGCAGCAACTCTCCAGGATTCGTAAGCTGCTGTAGATCTGTGAGCAGCCGTCAAGCTGGATAAAACTTCTTACTTCATCTTCATAGCTAAATTAAAACAGGAAGAAGTACCTTTAATCTGTTGTGCTCCATAACACATCTAACATCAACAGCACACTGAGGAAATACTGTGTGATTATTTGTCTTTTCATCTCACATTTTCAGTCCCCCAAGTGGGATCTACAACAGAGACAAAGTCTCTGTCCTACCCAGCTGATGGGGAAGACAAACACAAAAACAGAAGGGAGAGCCCTGGAGCTGCCTGGGTACCTTTGCCAGGGACCAGGAGGTTGAGAGGTTGATTTGCAACACTTCCTTCTGGGAAGCAGCTCAGGCTTTGCTGATAAAGCTGCAGAACAAAGTCTCAGTGTGTATGAATAACCCACAAGGTCTCTGAACTGCTTTGTCAGTCTCACAAAGGGCTTCTGCACAACCCCATTTTATAGGAATTTCTTTCCTCTCATCATGGGGAGGGCCAAGGATCTTAAATCAAATCTCCATCTGAAATACTACCTAAACCAGGAGTCCTGGCATTTTCTGCTGCAGGGGATACAGGGGGAGAGAAATACCCAAGAACAGAAAGCAGATGAAGGGAGCCAGAGGAAGTGGTGAGAGGCCAGATGAGAAGACATTCATTCTGCTATGAGAACTAGGACAGAGCAGAGCTCCCCACCCTGCCACAGAGCCAGCAGAAAGCACTGTGCCTGGGATGCACAGCCAGGTCAGGAAGGGCCAGGCCTGAGCACTGGACACTTGGCTGCCCCTCTTCCCAGGTGTGTTTAAGGTCTGAGCCTCTCCAGATCTCCCCCAAAGGCTTTATCCTGTCCCAGCTACTCCAGATGCACTTTGTTCCCTCAGCTTTAGTCCAACAACAAATACTGAGCACACAAACAGCAGTGAAGTGCTGTCTCTCCGGTAACAGCTTCATGGGAAACAGCCGTCAAGATCCAGCTGAACACAGCACCACCAGCTGCTTCATCAGGATCTCTTTCTTTTGAGCATAAGAATGATACCAAGGAGGAAAACAGCATCCTTCCTACCTCTCCAGGAACCTCAGGCACTCCTCCAGGCACTCAGCTTCCACCTTCTCACCCAGGCTCTCGCTGACTTGCCTGGCAGCCTCTGTCTTCTCTGTTATTATCTGTGGATTTCAATGTGTGAGAGGAGAACTGGCCAAAGTCATTTGTTCCCTATGCAGTGAACAGGAAAACATCCCACTGCTCACCCTGCAGCAAATCCCTCTGCCCTAGGAACCAACTTCTGCCTCAGTTTTGAGAGTCCTCATGGAAATAAATTTTTTTATCAGCCTTATTGTAATGCCTAACCCTACACCTTTGCTACCACTGGTTTTGTTGTGGTCAGCTTGGGTAAAAGCCTGTCCCTGCAGATGTTCTTTGCTGGCCACATCCAGCCTGGCAGCTCAGCTCATACACACACCTGCCATCTGCAGGAGCATCTGTGCTTCTACCTGACTCACCCTCACAGATAAATTTGGATGCAGCCACTAAAAAGAAGGTTATGCAGACGTGTCTGTGTGCCCTGCACCTCTGCCATGGTCTCTGCATGGCATGCCTGCAGAGGGCAGGTGTCACCTTCCCAGCCACCACCCCTCCCACCTGACCCAGCTCTGTGTGTTAAACCCCACAGCACACCCCAATGAGCCCAGCTGGGTGGCCCAGGTGTCTGCAGGAGGTGGGCTGTGCCAGACAGCTCAAAATTCACCCCACATCCGGCAGGCTTGAGCAGGTGGCAACTTAATGCTGCCCATTAGTTGTTCTGTGGGAACAAAAGCTTGCAAGGGGAGGAGAGCCAGATGGATAAAAGGAGACAGATGGACCCATATGCTGTGCCCTCACAGTGCTCGTCAGCCAGAGACAAAGGGTGACTCACATCATGAATGGGTTTTTCCACTGCTCATAACAGATGCAAAAGCTCACCCAAAGGGGCTGGATAAAATAAGCCACCCCAAAGTGTCAGAAAACCACAGATGATAAGTTTCCATGACACCTTGATCATTTTCTATCTGAAGTTTAAGTGTCAGCCTGAGAAAATTGAGGAGGTGGTAATTTCATAAGGCTTTCCTATTAATCCAGGCTTTTCCATCACGCACCCCAGAGCATTCAAACCTGTCAGTTGCATACACAACAGAGTGAATCCAGTCATGCTGAAGCATGGCCAGATGTTACAAATATGAGGACTATGGGATTCAAACCATGCTTTGTCCTAGTTCCTGTTAGAAAACTTTCCACTGTGAGCCAGGAGCAGGAAAAAAACCATCTTGATAGCTAAACATCCCCCTAGCACAGGTACATCACTGGGCACATCACTGCTCCATGGCTCCAGCAGGTACAGGGCAAAGCAAGGAGGAAACAGCCCCTGATATGAGCTCTGCATTTGGTGCCTGGGTCTGAGATGGGCCAGAAAAGCCAGTGCTTGCCAGCTAAAGAAAAAACCAGCTGCTGCTGATCTGCAGTGCTTCCAGTGCTTGAGGTTGTCTGCCACCCCAAAGGACCATGGAGCTACTTCCCTCTCTCATGGCCTGAAACAGGGCTGCCACTGGGGTGGTGGAAGCAGAGAATAAAGATACAGTCATGAGAGCCCACAGCCATGCCCCTGATCTCCAGCATCACTTAAACCCACATATAAACTCCAGGATTTACTTAATCCTTCTGCAGGTCATGATCCACACCCCCTCTGCCCACAGTACTGCTGCTCACAAGTCAGCAGGGTGTGCTCCTGCAGTGTGTCAGCAGGTTTTCTGACACTTTGGGGTGGCTTATTTTATGTGTGCTCCTCAGGTGTGCTCCTGCAGTGCCCTTGGAGCCCTGTGCTGTGCTCTGCAGCCCCCCTGCACTGCCTGACCTGCCAGGGCAGCAGTCCCAGCAGGGATGAGCAGGAGCAGCCTGCCTGCAGTTTGCACTGCCAGCCAAGGGGCCCTGCCATGGCTCAGCAGCTCTCCCTGCTTTTATAAAAATGCTCTGCAGAGCTCACACTGAGCAGGCTGGGTAACACACACCACCACTTTCAAAGGTTACATAAAGATCCAGGAGCATGTATGAAAATGCAGCTTCAGCTTGAATCAGCTCAGGCTAATCCTTAGTTTAGTAAGGGGGTATTTTTTCTTTATGTATGTCCAGGGCAAAAACAGGTTTGGGAGCAAACAGACACAGCTTAAGTATGGCAGCCAGCTTGCAGGCTTTTAACACACTGAGCTTAGACTGAGACATGCAAAACTGGGTCTTGCCAAATACCCACATGCTTGTGTGCAAAAACAAGGCTGCCCCAAAGACTGGGAGCTTTTCAGTTCCCCCCAGTTTACCTCAATGACTGCAGCATCTGCCCAAGGGGGTTTCCCAATATCAAAGGCTTCTTTCAGTGCTTTCCTCACTTCCTTCTAAATGATAAAAGGAAATTAAAAAGTTCAGTTAAGATACAATGGCATTCATACTGTGTTAGGTTTCCCAGCCTCTCATTATCCATTTGGAGTAGATGAATTTCTGCCTCCATTTTTTTTGGCTGTCTCTTAACCCAAAGCCTGGCTATTTTCCAGCTGACCTAATAACATTTTTCTGTTTTGTTCTACATTGTTTGTTTGAGTTTAAACGATTTGCAGCTTTCTTTCATGCCAGTGTCAGCTTGGGTTATCTACAGTCTTCCCTAGTTAGCTTAGCTCAAATGAAGGCGCCCACACAGCAAAACAATGCTTAGAGACATCTCCATGCTGCCAGCTACTGTAGCTGAGATTTTCCACCCTTCCTCTCTCCAACCAGCATCCAGAGAAACCAGCCAGCATTAATTAAAACCATTCCCTTCCTTGAGCCAGGGACTTGTGAGTGCAAAGAGGAGCAGGCTTAGTGTTTAGAGCTACTGTCATGGTGAGATGGGCCCCATGAGGCTGCACGATGGGAAATTTCCCAAGACTTGGCTGGCTTGTGCTAGTTTGAATGGCTGTAAAAACAAAACTAGCACTGCAGAGAAAGGGCTTGTTGCTTAAAACATGATCTGACCTTTATAGAAGCTTTAAACTCAAAAGTTTGGCTTGCTTATTTATTCTTTCATTTCTGAATCTTCCTCCAAGGAATATAAAGTCTGGTCTCCCATTTTGGTCTTTGTTCTTTTCTGCCTGATGAATTAGGAAATTTGTGGCTGTCAGCTGAAGAATTTCATCGAAAGTATATTCAAAACAACTGCTCTCCCATATTCACTGAAAAGTGTTAATCAAAGACAAACAAGCAGTTGTAAACAACCCAGAAAAATTTCTTTCCTCACAAGTGCCATCACCTGACTGTGAGCAAATGTGTGAACACTATGTGCTGAGATAGCACATCCCTGCTGAGCTGCACTAACACTTCAAGCCTGCCCCCCACAATGGGACAAAGCATGGCTTAGTGAGGAACTGCAAGGCAGTTAATAACTTGTTGAGGACAGCACTTAGTTGTTTTGGATCAGATTATGTGTCTGCATTAGAAACAGCCTGCTTGTCTGTAGCTCTTGTAGTGATACCAGCACATCAGGCACCAAAGCTCCAATGTGGAGGGATCAAAACTCCTGCTGTAATAAACAGGCCCTGTTTACCTCTTGTTTCCTCCTGTCTGACCAAAATCTTACAAGGCTTCATATCCATGGATGGTCAGTACACCTGTGCTGACTGCAGAACATGAACTTCTCAGTCCTCCTTCTGTCCATTTGAAAAAATAGAGGGATGGTGTGGAGAAGACACAGAGCCAAGTGATCCTTTGCAGGTCAGTGTGAATGAGCATGAGAATGAGCCCTGGCCCCATGCTTGAAGGTCTGCCTTGCACCTTTGTCAAATTCCCCAGTACAGCAAGGGCAGAGGTGACAGACTGGCAACCCAATTGATGGCAACAGCATTTTCAGTTCACCAGCTTTGTTACCTCAAAGGCACAAAGCTCCCCCTCCCCAGGTGTGTCCAGATTGACAGGGGTGCTGCCTGCATGCAGAGCTGACCGAGATCCCCACACTGGAGTTTCAAAGTGATTCTGAACCCCACGTGGCCTCTGGGGTTCAGCACCTTCAGATGTGCTCCCAGTTCTCAGCACTCATTTCTGTTTAAAGTGCTTTTAGTTTGCACAGGTATCAGGCTGCCACACCCAATGATAAGCCAGGTATTCCTAAGCAAAGCAAACCACAGCTTATTCTGGTCAGGATTTCTCATTCTGAAATTTTAGTCATCCATTGAAGTGGCAAAGTACACACCATGTGATTTAGGCACAATAACATATGACAATTGTTAAGAGATAACAGCAGGATATTTGTTCAATAACAACTGCCTGTATATTAGCATAATGAAGGGCTGAATTACCCTAAAAGCAGAAATAGAGGGATAAAGCAGGTTTTATAAGCTGTGCCACTGAGCTGAAGAGACATCCATAATTTTTCCATATGGAGTCAGCTTATGACCACTTAAGCTCATTAGCTTGAATCTGGAGCTGTTCCCAAGCTGGCCAGGTCTGAAGTGAGCTGGGGCAATGCTGTGCTACACTGTCCAGCACTTCCAGCTCTGTTCTTTCTGTACAACTCAGCACCACATAGAGCTGGGATGCTTCAGGATCCAAGGTGGCATGAAAACTCAGGCCAGCATGGCACAAAAGCTCATAACCAGATTGAGGTGAGCCTGCTTAGCACATGGTGTATCAGGAAAACAGAAAGCCCACATTTAAACAAAAGCGTTCTTCAGCTATTTCATTAGAGGGAACTAAAAAAAAAAAAGCTAAATTTCCCATCACTGTTACTCAGCATCTTTGAGGGCTTGTCAATGACTCAGGGACTTGCTCTAGGATAACCTCAGTGGCACTACCCTGAGTTAAGTCACTTCCTTCATTGAAACAAATGCTAAAAGAGAGCTTGAGAACACATGGTCTTCCCCAGGGTAATGTAATGATTAAAAACAGCCCATAAAGATACTTAAACACTGAAAGCAGTAGGCTTTAAGCATATTGTCACCAGCTGGCACTTCTACTTGCATGTTTGTGACTACCTTCTTGTTCTTCAGGGAATAATTCTTGAGGAAAATCTGTGCAATTTAGAGTACTTTCCCAGGGATGATTCAGCAGTTTGCTGTGGAATTTCCCCTCCTCTGCTCCCCAGGGGCTGGTGGAAATGGAAAGCAGGAGAGCTGAGTGTGGTAACTCCTGCTGTTGCGTTTCAGCTTTAGCTGAATAAAAGAGGCCCTGCTGAGTTTTCCAAATAACGTGGTTTCCTCTGGAACTCCCCATTGCCACAACACATCTTCCCTGCTTCATTTGTATTCCACATGTCTCAACAGAATTCTTCAAAGAGGGAACTTTGCTGAGAAAAGAAAGGGACGCTGCAGCCTCAGGGCTGGGGTCACCTGTGGGATCACAAGACAGGATTCTCTGTGGAGGGCTGCTGGGTGGGCACCAGCTGCACATTTTCTTGTGCTGAGCTCTGGAAATAATCTTTGCTCTAACACCAGCAGTGTCAGTCCAACAGGCTGGAGAGGACTGTGAGGGGTCCACACAGAGGCAAACTGAGCAGCCTCAATATCCTGCACAGCTGAGGCAAAGGGGCTGTAAAAAAAACCCAGCTTTGCACACGATGGGATCATTAACAGCTGGAGAGAAGATGAATAACATTTTGAAATGGCCTTCAATAAGGAAGTGGGTTTCACCCCTGGTCTCCCTTTCTTCCAGATAAAAGGGCTTCTGAGCAGAGCAGATTGCAGCTCTCAGAATATACAGAAATGGGATGAAGAGAGATTTGCAAATGCCCCAAGCATTTCCTTGCTAAGGAACAAGGGCAAGGCAGCCTCCCTTTGGTTGCAGGCAATCATGGATCTTCACACCTGGGCTCTGCAATGAAACTCGGTCAAGATGGAGACCTTGGGACCCACACATGCCTGAGCAGGGCTGGCTGTTTAACACGGGCACCCCTTAATTCATCACCACAGGAATAAAACCGGCAGATGGGGGTAAAACGGAGTTCTTACCCTTGCAATTGCAAGTAACTTTTCCTCAGTCTTCAAAAGGATCCACACGAGGCACTGTGCACCAAGGGAAAGGCTGTGCCCGGGTCTCTCACAGGCCTGGCTGCCTCTGTGTACAGAAACAAGAGCTCAGCCAGAGGGGCAGCTTCCCGCGGGCGCACGGCATCGCCTGCCTGGCACCACAGCCTCTCACCAAGCTAACAGGCTGCCCTGCAAGAACCCAGCAGCGTTTGCCAAGCTTGGGCAGCCACAGCACAGTAGATCATCTTCACAATGGTCTCTTGCCAGCTTTTCTTTTGTGCTGTTTCTTTTCCTTCTTCCTACATTTGCTGCCCAAGTTAAGGGTTTTGCTTGTTGTTCCCCTCTCCCCTTCCCTCACTGCTGCTGCTCAATTCCTTCTTAAGCTTGGGAGAGTCTCCCAAGCACACTTGCATGGATGCTCACTTTGCAAGTGTCACCTACTCTTTCTGAATGGAATAAGAAGCAGCTATATACCAAGACAACTGCATCTATGCATGAGCTTTCACAGAGGTTGTAATTGTATTTAGAAAGAGGAAAAATCAAATGCTGAAATCTGGCATCTCTGTTCTTCTCGTTTCTATTTTTTTTACTACCACCTGACTAATAGAGTCACTGTCTTATTTGTTTGGGGTTTTTTTCTTGAAGGGATTCTGCATTTATATAACACATTTTTTCCTATATTCAACTTTTCTTTATATAATTAAATTACATTATTTTTCACCTCCACTTTAATAAATTTTTCAATATTTAATAAATCCATTACTCCAAAGTTTTACCATTTTTAAAAAAAGCAGTAAAAGGGATGCCTCCTGCCCACATCCAACATGTACTTGATGATAGCCAGTGTGTACCTACCACACAGCTTCCCTCCTTCAGGAGCTGGCCAGGGGAAGAGACCACCCGATGAACTGCTAATGAGCTAATCAAGAGTTTATAAGTGTAATTAATACAAGGACCAGAGAAGCTGTGGACTTGGATGAAAGCAATCAAATAATCCAAAAAGGCTGAGAACTATTAGGCATAAGAAGATTGGAGCTGCTGAGTAGCAATTAAACACAGACACAGGGAATCAAACACCTCATCCACCATGAAAAAAGAAATCACAAGAAAATTTCAGGCTTTGATGACACCCATAGGCTTTGAATTCACATTGGGCCAAAGGGCCCCAGATGTGCCACTCTTCAGAGGGAAAGCCATATCTGTTTCCTCAGACTTGGGCAGGAATTTAATGATCTGTTACGCGTTTTTCCTGTGATCTGAGCACTAATGAAGGAAATACAGAAACAACTGGGAAAACTACAAGCCAGATAAAGCAGTGGGAGAACCAAGGGCAGAACAAGAGAAATCCATAGAGCACCATGCTGACATAAAGGCCAGGGAAAATTACTCTGGGGTAATTAGAGTATTAGGGACCTTGTTAAAAAAGGCTTGATGCGAGGAAAGAAATTGTTTAATAAAGCAGAAAACTGTGCATTTCCAACAGCAGTCCAGCAGAAAAATACCTGCCCACCTCTGGTAAACCCCTGAATCTGGTATTAAGGATTTAGAAAGAGGCAGTACTGCAATGAAAAAAGGCTCTGGTTCTGAGAGCACAGAAGATAAAAGAGACAGTGGACAAACCTAAACTCAGCAAGAGTCCTGATCATCACTGCGTTATCAGGAAGCAGTGACTGTTCTCAGAAACAAAAATCGAGCTATAAAAAAATGCAGGAAAAAAAGCCCTTCAGACATACCTTTTGTACATTTTAATGATCCATCCATAAATTAGAAGGCTCTGGCTGAAGCTGAAACTGTTGCTGTCAGTAAGTGTGGCAAGGTGAGAACACAAGGAGGCATGACAGCAGCGGGCATAGGTGACAAGCAGTCCTGCTTCCCTGAAGACATCACTGCTGTGCTCCAGGCTGGGGAGAAACGTCCCTTCCAGGTGACTCAGGTGCTGCTTTAGTGCAGCCTCATCTGTGTTAGTAGAGGAAGCAAACGGGGGAATCTGGGCTGTCATGTACTGCATTAGCTTTTCCTCCAGATCTTTTCTCCAGAAGTTTGGGCTCCAGGTGGAAACAGAATCTGTCTCTAGGCCATTGCCAAGCTGCTCTGCTTCCTTCTGCTTCTCCCACTTCAGTGATTCCCCCACTGACTGCAACGGCTCCAGGAGCATCCTGTCACTTCCACTGAGTGCTTCTCCCACTACAGTCCACATTCGTTCAGCCAGCAGTGCATAAAGTGATTCAGACTTTCCCATACCATCATTTCCAGAATGCTCCAGATTATAAATTTGATCACAAGCTTCCAAAAATTTTCCTTGCTCAATGAATCTGCAGATGGTTTCCTCTGCAACAGAATAAGAACACAACTTGCTATAGGTCTATAGGACCATCACTTTAATATCCAAGTTATGAAGTATCTAGTTTATATCTAGATTCCAGAATTCCTCAGGATCTACTCAAGATCAGCCCACTTAAGGTCTAGCACTATCACCTCTCAGTTTCCTCAGGGCAAGCACCTTTTGTTTCTAAATTTCTTTCATCCTTTCTCCTCCAGGTTAACCAAGCCTGAAGAAGTCTGCAGCTTTCTGCCATCATTCCAGAGACCTCCTCATGTGAGCAATGAAGGTTCATTAAATACAATCTTTCCATAAGAAATGTACCTTCTGTCCAGAAGAAAAACATTAAAGAAAGGACATCTGAACAAGCCAACAGCTGAAAGCCAAGCCTGGAAGGAATTCTCTGCCTCCTCCACAGAAACCCTGGCAGGACCAAAGTGCTGAAAGCTCCCCTGGAAGGAAGATTTCAGTGCTGCTTGTTTCCAATGTATCTTGCCTAGCACATCTAGTCAACCAACAAGAGTTAAATGTACTCTCACAACAGATGCACAGAGCTGCAGGGCTTTTTCCGTGTGTTTTACAGATTACAAGGTTGAGCAATGAAGGGTTAAGGTTTGCCAAAGGTATCTGGAGCAGAGCCCAGAGGACAAATCGAACTTGATGAGAATGTAGGAAAAGTTAAGTAAAGCCAGAAGCAGCGGGACTTAAATAATTCAGGATACAACTTTGGATGTAGAGTGAAGAATGAAGGGAGTATGAACTTCCACTATGTTTTGCCTATATCCTTTCTTGCTTTCCTATATGGAAACATCTCAAATGTGAAGAATTAAATCAAACAGGACTGGAGGGAGGAACATGACATGAAATGGAGAAGGGTTGATGCAAGGATGTTCAGCAAAGCAATTGGCAAGTTATTCAGGAGGGGCCTACAAGCTGCACCCATCCTGCCTCGATAGATACAACACAAGGGAAATGTTTAATTGGCACAACCAGCCTGTGTGCAGCCCACCTCCCCCTCCCATCTGTGGAGGAACAGCACAGTCACATGGCTGGGGTGTCAGTCACACATACATCATCTTTCTCACAAGACACATCAGGAGTATTTGCAGAGATAAAAATAAGAACAGTAAAGAGAAACATTTGTGAAGCAAATAAAAAGTGAAGTACAGAACTGCCCAGAGTGGCAAGTGTCAGAAGGGACAAGAATTCAGGTGAAGGATGGAGGAGAGTGGAAAGCACCTAATCCAGAAGCTGATGAAAAACAAGAGCCTGTGGGATGGGAGGGGCAGAGAAGATCCAGGCCTGGACCCAGAGATAACTTCAAGGTTACCTGCAGGCGTCCCTCTTTCCTCTCCTTTCCTACTGCTTGGCCTCTTCAGCAAATTCCCTGCCACATCCTCAGTGCCAGCCTTCTCCACTGTTTCCTTCCCACCAACCACAGTCTTCAGCAATTTGCCTGCCAAGGTTTTCAATTTCCCTTTCCTTTTTGCCTCCTGCTTCTTTCTCTCCTCATGTGTGGCCTTGGGCAGTATTCTTGCATTTTCCCCAGCCATTTTCTCCCCCTTCTTGTTGCCTCCTCCCACAAAGGCTGCCCAGGAATGCTTTCTCTTCTGCATGATCCAAGCAGACTCAGGTGCTCTCTGTCCAGCTGGGAATACTACCAGAAGAAAACATGAGAAATAGTTCTATGCAAAGTAATCTTAGTGTCTATCTCCCAGAGAAGTTCTCTCTTCTTCTTCTTCTTTTTTTCTGCACCGCTACAGGCTTCAGCTGCCTTTGAAAAAGTCTAACCTGGTTCCTGTCTGTGCCAAGTGAGGACACTTTTATAGGCTTCCAGCCTCTTATGTAATCCTTCCCTCTTCTGGGTAAATAATGTCAAAAACCTCATACATAATCTAACCACAACCACTGGGGGAAAGCCAGGGGGATTTTTGGCATTTTCTAAACGATTAAAATATCCCTGCACTGCCAGTTATCTTGATGACAATCCTATCAGTTTAAGGGAGTTGATTAGTAACAACTTTTATGAAGCACACATCCTTTTCCACCCACCCTGCATGCCCAGGCTGCACCTGAGTTTTCCTTTGGCAGGGAGATCACATCTGGGTTTGGAGCCAAGTTTTCCCTCACCTCCCAGCAAGCCTAGTGTGAGCCACCAGGGATGTAAAGGCCCAGAGAATGGGTGTTGGTTTCCATGTTCTAATAACACCATTCACAGGAGATAAGAGCAACCTCAGCCTTCTGGAATGTGCAATATGCCAGCAACTATGTACACTATTATGTATTATTTTAAATTTATAAACACACGCATGGATATAAATGGCATAACATTGCAGTGATCCAGAATATATGTGTGTGTGTGTGTCCATACATGTATGCACACATATGGATCTGTTCACCAGCCAATATCCACAAGTGAAGAAAAAGGAGGAGATTTTCTGCTTAGCATGAAGTCCATATTAGGCTGCTTAAGGTTCTGACCATAAACCACAGAAAAAATTCCTCCACAGAAAGTATCCTTTAAATCCAGGAGCTTGCATTTAAAATAGATTTTTTTAAGTCCCTACACTGCTGTGAGAGCTTGGAGAGAAGTTGAAATGCTGTCCTTACCACACCTTTCTTGCAATAGAATTGCAAACTGGACTTAATTCTCCATTCCATTACTATAAAGATTAGATCAAAAACTTGAGGATTTTCATCAGCTGAAGACAGTTTGTATTAATCATTACAAGCTGCACTGATTCAAAACCATGCACTGTGCCACAATGATTTCAGGGGTATGAATTTAAGGGGTGATTTTTCCACTTCTCATCTAGACTGTTTCAAATATGTTAATTTATATTTCTGGGTTTAACGCCTGCAGTTTCTTCCAAGATTTTCTACATTTTCATGATAGTAAAATTCCACTAGTTTCCTTCTTGGAAACCACGTGAATGTTATGTTGTTCTGGCTCTTTTATCAGTGCTGAATTCCACCAGCATGTTATCACAAAGCTGTTTGATTCATTAGTAACAATAGGGAGGAGGAAATAAATACATTTCATTTGGAAAGAGAAACAGAAATTCCAGCAGTGGTCACACATTTGAGCTGCTGCCAGTAGGAAATACTGAGGTTGCAAAATACAGTGTTTTCCCAGCTCGTGAACAAAGTTGAAAACTGGGAGGCTTTATACACATTCCATTTTGACCTTAATTTTTAATTGGCTGAAGTTAAAATGTTTCATTTGGAATGTTATAGCTGCACAGTATATGAATACAAAATGGAGTAAGAGGGTCAGTACTGAGAGAAGAATTCCAGGCATGCTGAAACCCTTCAGCAATATTTTCCCATGAAAATTCCAACACAATATGTTTATGTTTCACTTCATCAGCATTTTTCCAAGCCTGTCTCTAACAAAAACCATTTCCCTAGACTTCTCTGTGGAAGGAAATTAGATGTCAAAGTGCCAGTCCTGAAGGCAAGACTCCCTGCAGTACACAGATTTTGAACACACTTACAATTGCAGATCGTGCCCTAAACTGTGGCAGCATGATGTGTGGGAATTGCTGTGTTTTCCCAGAAAGCCTCTTTCAAGGGAACACAATACAAGCCTGTGGAGAGCAGGGAGTGACTGCAGGGATGGACTGACATCCTGAGGCTAGGACCAACTCTTATTCCATGCACCACTTGACCCACTCAATCAAGGGAATGTCAGGCACTCTCCAGGATGAGAGTGCCTCAGGGCACGGTCCACCCAAGCACTGCAGCACCAGCAACCCCCGTGGCTCTGTGTCCTGCCTTCCCTCACCCACAACCCAGGGCAAGCAGAGGCAGAGCAGGCCATGGCCTCCAGCAGCAGGCAGCCAGGAGGGCTGTGCAGGGACAGCAGGGTGGGGAGGGCCACTCTGACCGAGGTGCTGAGCAAAGCAGCAGCAGGAAGTGATGCCCCAAGAATCCATTGTCACCCACTCTGCACCCCTGCCCACAATGGCTTTGTGTAGCCATGATATTGTCTGAAAAATCCTTTCCTTAGGATTTTTCTCCTGAGAAGCTGAGAGGCCTCAGGAACAAAATGTAAACAATGATTATCTGCTGCTGTGGAATGCAACAGGTGGATCTGTGATTGGTCTCATGTGGTTGTTTCTAATTAATGGCCAATCACAGTCCAGCTGTCTGGGCCGTCTCGGTCAGTCACAAGCCTTTTTTATAATTTCTTTTCTATCCTTAACTAGCCTTCTGATGAAATCCTTCTTCTATTCTTTTAGTATAGTTTTAATATAATATATATCATAAAATACTAAATCAAGCCTTCTGAAGCATAGAGTCAACATTCTTGTCTCTTCCCTCATCCAAAGACCCCTGCGAACACCGTCACAGCTTTGGGTTGAGGGATGTTGTCTCTGAGGGGAATGCACTCCTGCAGGAGGGGACATGGCACAAGGGAGCTGCCCAGAGGCCACCAGCAGCCTGCTTTTCTGTGCCTTAACAGCACACACAGCGTGTACAGGTCTCTCCCCTCTGTCTCTAATGCTGTGTTACTGCTCAGGCTGAAATTCTGCAGTTAGAAGATGGGGATGATTTGCGTCTCTAGGAATCATCTACCACAGGGCTCCCATGGATGCTGTTATGCTGAGACAGGCAAAGCTCACAGGGAAGCTACACCTTCACATTAAAATGTTGAGATCAAACTAGAACAGAGGTTTTTCACGAAGAGTTTACATATTGCAAAGGGGATTGTTTGCTGTCCAAACCCATTGGTTTGGGCAAAGGAACTGGTGCACAGCCACATTTTATCTGCTCCTTCCATGGGCTCCTGAGCTGCCACCCAAGGGGAGCCATACCAAGGAAAGAAGGGCAATAGGAAACCAGAAGAACACAGGGCCAAGAACAAGGACAGTTCTCTTCTGAACAAACTCCTTTGTCAGGTGTACAAAATGACTTTCTTCTCCCTCCAAAGCCACTTCTTGGAAGCCAGCCCTCTCCTTCTTCCTGGTGTTTCAATGCCTCCATTTATCCACAGTGGGATTTTCCTAGCAGGGTCATTTTCCCTGCCATGACCTTTACTATGCTTACTGTGAAAGAGAAGCCATTTGTCTCCTAGGAACATCCCCAGCATTCAGGAGTTTCCCTCATTTCCTGGATCTCCTAGAAAAGTCCACAGCCTCCCCACATCACTGAGAGTCTGTCTTCCTATCTCAGAAAAACTGTAACTCCTTTGTCTTTGGGATTTTACATTAAACAAGTGAATATCTTGGAGAAATTTTTATATTGTTTCCCTGTTTACTTAACTCTTTATCTTGCTATTTCCCAATTCTTCTGCCTACAGAGATAAAATCTCTTCATAACAAGTGGATTGTGTGCCTGACTTGAACAATCGGTGTTTGGTCTTCATGCTAATCAGATGAAGTCAGACTATTAGCACTACAAATTAAATGACTTTGCAAGAGTCCAATTACATTAATATTCCAACTCCAGCAATGCAGTGATGCCCCTGCTTGCTTTGCAGGGACATTACATGAGCACAGTCATGCATAGACAATGGAAACTTTGTGTTCAGTAGCATCTGTTATATGAAATACACTTGGTCCTAAGAGGCAGGTGGATTGCAGTATCTGGAGAGGTTTTTCACTTCCCTCTTTTGTTTCCAGAGCATGCTACTTTCCACTGCTTTGAACCAAAGGCATGAAACATGGCAGAAAGGAATATTAATTATGATGATAAAATGTGCAGAACATGGCACAGAAAGATGTTGGATTCCCAGGATGCAAAACCACTCTGTGAAGCTGTATTGCAGTCAGACAAGGCGTTCCTCCACTCACCTCCACTCACACACAGCACCTTTGATTTCATTAGCAATCAAAGAAGAGCAAGTCTCTATTCCAAGCAAGATAGGTTTTTTTGGGAGATACAAAACAAACAAACCAACAAAGAAACAAAAGTACCTTCTCCTCACATTTGACATTACAGCTGGTGTTGCTACCACAGTTGTGTGCAAGAGGTGACTTTGCCTACTGTGCACAGTCAGATGTTTATAATCTGTGGAAAACATACATTAATTCTTATTTCCTAAGGATAACTCCATTTCCTAAGGAAACAAGACAACACAGTCAGAGGTTGCATGTGTCTCTGTATTCATGTGATCCCCTGCCCTAAGGCACAAGAGTGGATTTTAAATCAGTTTTAACCAGTATTAAAGCCAGTTTTAACCAAACTGAGAGGAGGTGGCTCAAACAAAATAGTTCATCCTTACAGACTTCGTAAACATACACATCTGAGGAGAGGATAGACCTTCAGTGCCCCTCTAAGGAAGGGAACACAGCATGAACTCAGCCTTTATTTGATGTCAGAGGCTCCACCTGGCAGCACAGTCTGAAGGTACACAAACACTCTTTCCTTGCCTCTGGTGCTCACCAAATCCCCTGTACCCTCCAGATAACCTGTGTGCATGTGCAAATAAAGCAGCACAAATATTTAATATAGGCAGCCTCTCCTGTAGCAACAGATGGAACAGAGTTCCTTCCCTAGAGTCATTCCCAGCCCCAAGCTGCAACCTCTCCCTGCCTGAGATCTGTGCTACCCCGAATATGTCACCAGTTTTGGAGCAAAAGGGCAAGAAGAAAGCTTCTTCCTTTCTCTTCCTGAGTGTGTTTGCTTGAGCAGCTTTTCTCTGCTCAGCCACTGATTTTTATCCCATTTTGGAAGAGTTAATCTGAAACTTCTGTCCTTCTCTAGATTTGTCTGAAACTGGAGGGATTTGGTTTATGAGGAGAGGACAGGCAGATGGGTTGACAGAGACACTGCATGGTCCCAGCACTTTCAGCAACCACACTAAAGTCCAAAGAATAAATTCCCCAAAGAATTGGATACTGCTCCTTCCCCTGCTCTGAGCACTGAAACATAACATTCATTGAATGTGTTATAATAAAATTTTGCACTGCCTCTGTTTTCCCTCTGATTGTGAGGACCCCATTATGAACTGACCTCAATTTTAACTTAATTAGTAACCTACTTTGCTGTTCTTTTAGAACATTTTTAGCTAATTCCTGGGGATTTTGCCTAATTCTGTTTTTTTCTTTTCAGAATGAAACAAGCATTTCTTTAGAGAAAATGCTTCCTCTTTTGACAAAAATGGCAATAGTAGTAATAATAAATAAAACACACAATCCCCAAAATTTTAAAGATGAACTGTAGAGATCCAAACAATAGAAGTGTTTGATGTGGCCCTAAAAAATCCTTGCATTGGGAATATCTTAATCCACATAGCAAGAGAAGACTGAAACAGTGCTTTTCAGAGTAGCAGCTTAGTCCTCAGCAAAGTTTTCTGCCACATAAAACACCACAGCCCTGCAGTCTGCCAGTCTGGTCACATTGAAGAGCTGTCACCCAACAGCTTGGTTTCTAATCTTATGAGTTATCTGAAGTTATCCAAGGAAAACTCCAAGGGCAGCTTTGCCAGAGGAAATCTACAGCTTAGACACTCCTTGGCCTCCTAGGAATGGAAAGAGCTTTTAAAAAAAATTATCATGGATATTGTTTGCTAGTGTGATTACCTCAACCACTACCATGTCTCATTTCAGGATGATCCATTATTTTTTCCAGAGGTTTTTTTTTTTTTTGCAAAGTTTGTATTATGAATATTCCATCTACATTTGGACAGACAAGCCTAAAATTTTGAGTCTCTTCACCTGCCTTAGATCAACAGGATTCCTCCATGCATTTTTACATCAATTCTTTCCAGCAATAAAAACTTTAAATTCAATTTCAGAGGAAACTTCCTACACACATCTGTACCCACAGCCCTACACAGAGCAGCATATGCAGAGATTTGGGACTGAAAATCCACATTACATCATTCACATGCTTCTTCTGCTGCCACAAGAGGCCAGTGATTGTGTAAATTCCAGTCTTCAGTATTTCACCCCCAGTGCACTGACATGGCTCCACAGGCACATCTGCCAGACACCATCTGGAGGCTAAAAATCATATCTACAGATCAGCTGCCAGGATGCCCTGAGTCCTCTGACAGGGGCCAAGCACATTTCAATATTGACAAAATATCAAAACTCCACTGGTTCTCCCCTCAACATCCACTGCAAGTGTGTCTGGCTAAACTAAGGCAGGAATTCCCCATGCACTTGCACTGACACAGGAGCTATTGTATGGGGCATATTGATATATTGATATATTTAAATAAATATATATTCTAATATTACCACATTGACATATAAATATGTAATGTAGTCATATATCAATATATTAATACATTTATTAGTATGGAGTGGAGTATATTAACAACACTACTCAGGGCCCTCATCCTCATGGCTGAAGAGGTTATTTAGGAGAGGAGGTAGAAGAAAAGACATCAGCTTTTGTGTAGACAAAATTCACAAAAGATTTGTGAAGACAAGATTTGTGTAGACAAGATTCACAAAAGATTTGTGAATCTTCAGAAATGCCGGGCACAAAGTGTTTCCTATTGTGACTTCTGGACAACCTGAGCAAGATCTCCATTCCCACCCCACACTTAGCAGCAATCTGGTTTAGCCACTAGCCCTGGTAAAGCTCAGTGTATCCAATATGCCAAATCACACTGTTAAAATGTCTATTGTGAAAGACTTTTGCAATATTAGCACAGGAGCTTGCTAGCTACAGTGAGGGACTTGCTGCAGCAAGAGGCACCCAAAAGGGTCCTAGGAGAGAGCCAATCATCCTCTGAAACTACTGAAGAAAAATACCCTGGGGAGAAACTCTTCATGAGCACAAAGAGAAGCATTAAATTTTTATTAGCATCAGTTCAGGCTGAATAAAGCAGGCTTCCCAAACACATGGTGATAAAACATTTACACTACATCACTGGCTTTTCTTCCAAAACCAGGAAAGCATTTAGAAGAGAAATGGCACTAGAAAATTCAGCACTGTTTCATGATGTGGAAGCTGCCTGAGGGTTTTCAACATTTTCAGACCCATTCCTGTCTTACAGGAATGAAAAAAATACCAAGAAAACAAGAGGTGGGCAAAACCTGGGGAGGGAAGCATCAGGAACAGACAAGGTAAAGGAAAGGGAAGAGTATTTGTAATGCATGCATCTGCTGTCAGTATCAGGATGTATCCCATCTTTCCAATGCCTCCCACGTCTCAGCAGAGTAGAGGCAGTGCTATGTAAAGATCCAGAGACACCTCCCAGCTCCTGAGAGCAGCACAGCATCAACTGCCAGCACTCTGGCACTGCTCCCCTGCCGCCTCCTTCACAGCCACTCTGCTGCCTTCATCGCTCACAGAAAGATTCTCCCTGCAAAGGAGGAAGATGTGGTCCTCGAGGAACCAAAATTAGGTGACTTGGAAGGATGTTCTAAATTATTGAGCACATTAAAAAAGGAATGGCTATTTTTTCTCCATCATGGACAAGCACATTATTTGCACTGTTAGGACCTTAGATCTCCTGCACGTGTTATTTACTGGTGGTCAAGAGCCAAGAGCCATTCCTGAAAATGAATGAAAAAAGATCATTAAGGCCTTATTGCAACAAAGGATATAAATAACTGACAAATTCCTTTTGTTTCAAATTCAGCCTCTTAACTGTACACATCTGTTTAGTGAGCAGGAAGGAGTGGTGCAGCGTGGTGTTTGTATGCTCCATGACTACACGACAACAAATGCCTTGGGGTCAATAACCTCTGAACATCACACAAACTGCAAACCAAGTTAGCACAGCTGATCTTGACACAGCACAGAATCACTGGACTTTCAGGCAGCTGCCTTGGAGCTTGTCTGGTTGAATAAATGGGTCAAAAATGGTATTTTCTGCATAAGGTTTTAATGTGGAGTTTCCAAGCCCAGCAGTGGGTGTATGTTCACTGAGGTCTCCTTGGCTGCTACCCCACTCTTCACAGTTCAGCATACCTTACACATGTGGGCAAAACATGTAACATGGCAACAAAAACATAAGCTGTCATGCTCAAAACCTGTTTTACATCAGGAAAAAGATGACTGCACTGATTCTGTTGATGAGGACAAGAAGATGAACTGGGCACTCCCTATTCCTGGTTCCTATTAACCTTACCATGGGTAACAATTTCGTCTACACAAAAGCAAGGCCAAATAGCTGCTAAATATCTTCTGGATAAAAATGTCTATGGATCACACTTGATACTAGTGGGACCTCAATCCTTCATGTCTGCAACTGCCTTCCTCCTCCTTCTGCATATGTAAATACAATGGAGAAAAGACATATTAACATTTTCTTTCCTCTTCCTTCCCAGTCTCAAGGAGCCATCACAGCCAGATAAATCAGGAACTCCAAGATGGACTGCAATTTTGTCTAAAACATATAATGCAACAGATCTTCTGCAACTAGTTCCAAGAAGAAGCAGATGCACCTTGTAATTATTAATTTATTCTAACATTTTTGAAAGGAAGAGATAGGGAGAGATATTGATGTATATGGCAGGTACTGACTAATATTTAAGACCTTTGGCATTACCATATGCTCCTGGAAATAACTGCCAGTGCTACTGTCATTGATGACAGCATGTAAACGACTGTCTAATCTGCATATACAATTAAATAATTAGATGCCATATGTAAGAGTAGTTTTTTATAGGTGTGAAATCAGAGAAAAAGTTCAAACTTCATTTTATAATATGTTTCTAATATTGATTTTATAATATATGCTCTTACAAATCAGATCCTCTTGACCACAGATACAGATCTTCATTACTGAGGGCCCTATCTTAGGTTTAAAAAAAATCAAAAATCACAATTAATACCTCATATTATTAATTTTCCCCTGGGATGCATTGATTCAGTAATGCTTGCATTGAGCCTGCTGGCAGGATGCTATAGCTGCTGTCCACAAAATGCCTGTCAACTTCTGGAGCTCACTGTGAACAAAACAAGCCAGGGAAAAACCCATCCAACTGGAGGCCTGTCCACTGCATTCAATGAAGGCTTGATCTATTCTTATGAGCAGCTGACCTAGATTCTCTGCTTGAATGAGAGCATTTCCCAGCATCAAGGCTGCTCAGAGTCAGAAATTCATGTATCACTTATTATGAGAGATGGGAAAAATAAGGAAGAGGATATGATCTTAAGGGACAGCGATGGCATCCGTTTGCCTTAAAAACTTTATTAATGTCCCCACTGAACACTCCCTGACACACTTCTGCTCTCATTTCAGAGTCTGGAAAGGGCTACAGCCCTTCTGACAGCACAGATGACAGGCCAGGCAGCCAGGCTCATGGAGAGGTTGTGATGTGCCAAGGCTGTGGAGGACAGGAGCACACAGCAGGGTGACCAGGAGCACACAGCAGGGTGGCCAGGAGCACACAGCAGGGTGGCCAGGAGCACACAGCAGGGTGGCCAGGAGCACACAGCAGGGTGACAAGGAGCACACAGCAGGGTGACCAGGAGCACACAGCAGGGTGACAAGGAGCACACAGCAGCATGACCAGGAGCACACAGCAGGGTGGCCAGGAGCACACAGCAGGGTGACCAGGAGCACACAGCAGGGTGACAAGGAGCACACAGCAGGGTGACAAGGAGCACACAGCAGGGTGACAAGGAGCACACAGCAGGGTTACCAGGAGCACACAGCAGGGTGACCAGGAGCACACAGCAGGGTGACCAGGAGCACACAGCAGGATGACAAGGAGCACACAGCAGGGTGGCCAGGAGCACACAGCAGGGTTACCAGGAGCACACAGCAGGGTGACAGGAGCACACAGCAGGGTGGCCAGGAGCACACAGCAGGGTGACAAGGAGCACACAGCAGGGTGACCAGGAGCACACAGCCGGGTGACCAGGAGCACACAGCAGGGTGACAGGAGCACACAGCAGGGTGACAGGAGCACACAGCAGCATGACCAGGAGCACACAGCAGGGTGACAAGGAGCACACAGCAGCATGGCCATCTCACTGCTCCCGAGGCACCTGCAGCTTCCCGGCCGCTCAGAGCAGCTCCTGCCAGCAGCGAGGCTGTGCTGGATCAGGAGCTGCTGGTTCACACCCCACCAGGCAGGAGGAAATGGGCCAGAGAGGGCTGCTGAGCCTGCACTGCCAGGGAGTGCTGGGATCCAGCTGCAGACTCAGCACATCATCACCCCTGGGAGCCCAGGGAGGCCCCAATAAGGCAATGCCCTGTCCTGCTGGTGAGCCATGCAGGACACTTCTCCTTCTGCGAGTTCTCCAACACAGGGGAGGCACATCCTGTGGCACTCAATACTGTGAAGATAATGGTAGGCTCAGGGGGGCAGAATGATGGGTCAGCCCTGGGGAAAGGACCTTTTCATCCAGCCTTTGCTGCTGATTCACTTTGTCCTCATCTCCCTGAGATCCTATCAGGCCTCTGCACATGCCCATCTCAGTATTCTTGCCTATTAACCAATAATACTCAAAAGACCAGTGATCTCCTAGGGTGATTTCCAGGAAATCCAAGGGTGTCCATCACTGTGAGGGATGCTATCTTGATACCAGCCCTTGATGGCAGCTGTCACTGTTGTCAGTGCTGCTGAGCTGCCCACAGAGAGCAGTTCCAGGTCCAGGCCAGGACTTGAACAATATCCACTCAGAAGGGACAAGAAGGAGCTGGCAGACAGGGATGACTCTCTCATATGCCCCAAGGTACCGTTCCTGCCCCAGGGTTATGCTGCAGTCCTGGCCACAGGGACAAGGACAGGGGCACACACTGAGTCTGTGGGGCAGGCAGGAGCTGGGCAGTCAAGGGTCATTTCCTTCAACACCAAAATGTTTCAATCTGTGCCACAGACAACGACAGAAATCTAAACTGACATATACAAATTCAGGTCCACACATTACAGAATATCCTACCCATTCTCCAGACATGAACATCCCAGACTGAGGCTGCAGAAGAGAATTTCTGCTTATGTGTACCCTTGCTGACTGTACCACACAGGTGCAGCTTACACATCCAGCCCACCCAGAAGGCAAGTGGCTGCTGTTGGCCATGCTGCCAGTGAGCATTTCCTGAGCCCCTCTCCTCTGAAACCTCCAGAGGGGCCACCAAGAATCACAGAACCGTGGAATTTTGGAAGGGACCCACAAGGATCATCCTCCAAGGAGTCCAGCTTCTGGCCCTGCACAGGAAATCCTCAAAAATCACACCATGTGCCTAAGAGTATTGCCCAAAGAAGAGACTATAAGAGCTGTTTGACAACCTCTCAATTCAGATCTGGTTCAGGAAATGCAAATACTCTGTCAGGCATGGGTTTTCCTCACCAACTTTTTTTTTTTTTTCTTTTGCACGTGGGCAACCTGCAAACTAGGTCAGTATTATTCCTACCAAAACACTTGCTAAGGGTGTTATTTTTAGAAAAGCATGTGATTGTCTGACTTTTATTTATGAGCACACTGAAAGATCCACTGTATATTTTCCTGTCTGTCTTGTTTGGGGTGGTTTGTTTTTTTAGTTCTTTGGGTAGGTTGCTGAGATCTTGGGCCTCTTTTTAAAAGGCAGATTCAGACTTCTGAGAGACCTTGCAGGCTGCATGCCTTGGCCATCAGTGAAACAAAGCACAAGCACAAATGAGCAAATGAAACCAGACAAGAGCACAGAGAGAATATGAAAAAGCAAGATAGTGACACAGGTAACAAGGGATGAGGATATGGAGCAGAAAAGATGCCGAGGGTTATGGGAGATGGGGAATCAGGCAGAGTTGGATGGATAATAGGAAATCCATATCTTCACAACTCCAAGATCTCAGCAATCAGACAAAAGTCAGCAGGAGAGCCCAGTTCAGTGAACAGAAAACCTGTCCAGAGATTCAAGTTTATTTTCTGAGAACTCTTCTTACCTCCTTGGGACAAGCAAAATCCTGCACCAGCTTTTCATTTGGCAGGTTAGTGGTCACAACCCTGACAGATATCCATCAGACAAGCAAACCAGGGGAGAGGGCCCCTACAGCCAGGACCTTCTGTGTCCAGATCTCTACTTGCCTGGCTTTCACTCGGCTTGTCTGGGGAAGGCAGAGGTTTTGCCCAATGCTTAAGTCATCAGACTGTTCAAGTTATGAGGAGGTGAGTCCTTCCACTAAATGCATGGCCAGTGTGAAGTGTACACCTCTGTGGATATTCCAAATTGCTTCTATAAGCAGAAAAATACACAGGAGTAGGCAGTGTCCTTCCTCTCAAATGAATGCAGATTTCTAAAATAGGCCAGTCAAGCAGCACACCAGTACTGCCTCATTGTCTTCCTCAGCAGCAGAAGGAATTCAGAATGAGTAGCTCAGGCACTGATATGCGTGTGTCAGAACTGATGAACCACTACCTGAATTTCCAGAAATTAACCACAACAAAGAATGTCAGGAACCCATCTCCAGGCCCAAGGGTCTTCTGACTTTCCACTCTTATGAAAAAACCAGATGTATATGATCTGTGAGGGCACGGGGTCAGCTGTAGGGCTGATGGCTCATGGCCATGATGGGCTGCAGATTGTTGCTTGCTAGGGTGAGTCACCTCAGCAGGAGGGAAGTTCCACATAGAATCCTCTTTGCCGACCTCCCCAGAACACCACCACCAGCCCAGAACTTCTGCACAGCTGGGAAACACCTCTGCTTCTTGGTTTCAAAGCTGCACAAGGAACATCAGAATGTGCTGCTGAAAGGATGAAAGCATGGGGATGATCTTCTCCTGCCACAGAAACAGGGAAGAGGTTGAGCTGGCTGGGAGAGTCTGGTGTTTGCTGACACCTTTTCTGTCTCTGTCTCTTGCCCAAGAGCTGCTACCCCAGAATAAGGGGGTCTCAAGTGCCTCTTTGGCAATCCACCAACACATTGCAGACACTAAAATTCATTAAAGTTACTTTTGTCTGTCCTTGGAAATTGATCTAAAGCCTGAAGCTCCCTGCCCAAGCATCTTGCCTCCTTCAGGTAACAGCTGGCACCATCCAGGTACCTGCAAAAGGAAACAAGAACTTCGAAAGAAGCAACACAGGCAAAGACAACTGGAACAGACCCAACTCACCTTCCAAACCCTAAATAACATTTCTTCCTCCAGCAAGACCATGCTGCCACAGTGCACCAGGTACAGCCTGCAGATGGAGTTCCACAAACTACATCTTCCATGCAGGGCAGACACCAGCAGGTTCTCCTGCAAAGAGAAGCAGCACAAATGAACAGGGAAAGGACAGGCCTGTTACACATGGCATAGCATGGGAACTCAACTCTAAGACATAGAGAGGAATAATGACACTCAGGGATGCTCAGGGGTGTTTTAAGAACATGGGGCATATTCTGAAAGATGGGATGGCCTGGGTGATACAAGCTGGCTGGAGGCTTAGCCATGCTTCACTACCCCATCATCTAACATTGATATGCCACATGTTTCTCCCAGGGAAATCACTGGTTTAGGGCAAACATTATGATGACAGCTTCTTACACCCCAAATTTTCCCAATTTTTGTTCCATCCCTCATATAATACTCACATACAGATGACTTCAGCTGCCTATAACCTGCAATAGCTCACATGTGATGTTGCACTGAATTTTCTCTAACCATATTTTGGGGGGAATCAGTTAATCCACATATATTTAATCAGTCACTGACACATGCATTCTCTGTCTTATTATCTTGCCTTGAAAAAGAACTGAAAGCAGCAATTATTCACTACACTCATTAGCAGCAAAACCAGATTTCCAGACATTTCAGTCACACTCCTGAAATTACGCAGTTGGTGGTTGGTGCCAGGGTCCCATTTAGCTCAAGAGCCCTTTGTAACAAAAACAAACAATAGCTTCTTCTTCATTTAGCTGGCTTCCCTTAAGAGGAAGAACTCATGTTACAAAGGAAGGGCTACATAATCATGTTTTACTAGCTCAAGGTACACAAGACTTTCATGAGTATCTTAGACATTTCAGTATTCAAAACACCCATGAAAGTTATGAGTAGCCCAAAGGAAAACAGTCTGATCTTGGTAACAGAAGAAGTACCAATGAGTGCAGGACAATAGTCACAGGCCAACAAAAAGCAGAAGGAAAGGTGCAATGGGAGCTGGGTTATCAGCTGTGCTGTAACAGGAGAGCTGGTGCAGACCTGCTCTGTGTCCCACCAGCACTGTTCATGATGTCTCTGAAGATCACAGAGCCACCCCAGAAGCTGAAGGTGTTGCTGAGGTGAGAAATGCAACTCCTCTATTCCTGCTAAACAGAAAACACCAGTTGTCTCCTCCTCTCACCAAAATAATGTTCCCCTCACTCTACTTTTCCTCATGGGAATGTTCATGTGTCATTCCAGTACAAAGCTGCTGGGAGAGCAAGTTCAAAATCACATCAGACTCATTCTTTAAATAGCCCTTTTTCCTTTCCCTTTTTTACAAGCATGAAATGAAGACATGTCTTTCTCAGAGAGGGTAATTATTTATTAAGAATGGCCTGCCAGCACCATGAATTTAACATGACAGAAGGTCCATCCCACAGTATATTTAAACCTCTCCTCGTTAGTCATCGGAACTCTGATCCTTCAGCCAGAAGATGTGGCACATCCCACCAGGAGTCCTGGCACAGGGGCTGACTAGTGTTGTTCACAGGCCTATTCCTTCTCCCTGCTGACCACCCCTGAAACACAGCCTGCCCTGAGGCCTTGCCTTGGAGGAGACAGATCTGCTGCATCAGCTCCTGCCCGCAGTGTGTGCCACTGAAACACACCCCAAGCAGGCTGTTTGGAATACACAGATGGGAGCAGAGATTTGGCAGGTCTAGCAGAGCATCCTATCTGCTGCAAGGCCTCTGGAGGTCACAGATAAGCAAACCCAGGCAAGGGCAATGCTGGGGGAATAGATATACAAGCAAAACAGGACAGGCAGAAGATTACACATGTCTTCCTTTCATTCTAGATGATTTTGCTTCTAGTGCAGAACTCAGTTGATGACTCTGGGGTTATACTTGGTAATGAGTGTCCAGAAAGCCCAGATTTTACAGTAAACTAAATGTATTCAATTCTCAATTAGCTATGGCAGATTAGCTGGGTTGAGGATTAACCAGACTCTCCTTCCCCATAGCAACCACAGCTACAGCACCACATATGGAACTCAAGCCCCACTTTCACCCCAGTAGCTTAAAGCTGTCCCCACTCAGGACAGAAACTGCCAGGTTTCCTACAATCCTTTCACCTGCAGGTGAAAGATAAGACCTGAATAAAATCTTATCCTCTAAATACCATATAGCCTGTACAAGCCAGGATCTATTTCATCTAGGTTTTATCTAGGCTACCCCATCCCACATTTTCTTCAATGGGTGGAAGCTGATGACATTTACATGAACCAGCCAACATTAAAACAAGAACACACCATGTAGCCTGCAAAAGCTGTCCCAAGCATTAGGCAGCTGGTGTGCTGACACCGTTGCCTATGTGCTGAGTAATGATGTCCCACTATTTCTTTGTGCTCCCTTACCCATCTCTTTCCATCTGTTTTTCCTTGGCATCCATTTGGATCATATGCTGCTCAAAGCAGGGCTTTCTGTCAGCACCTAGGAGATAATCTGTGACAGGGCACTGCAAAAATCAGTCTGATTGATTCATGTGAGTAATTAGTGAACTGGAGTCAGCGCTGTACAAGAACATGTGTATGAATGGGTTAAGCATGGTGTGTCTGGATGGAAAACGTGACTCATAAGTGTTACTAACATTATTCTTTCTCATGTCCAAAAACCTAAGTAAGAAATGGGGGAAATGGAGTGGGTAGAAAAAGACAGCAGGCTGGCGGGCAAGTATCTCTGAAATACAACTGCACTGAGTTACGGGCACTTAGATCAGATGCTGAGAAGAGCAGAGCATTTGCTACTCCTACACACAGCCCCATTTCTTCTCTCACAGCTATTAACTTCTCAGGCTTCTCCGTTTTGTTTTTGCTTCATCTTTCACATACACAGCCCAAGACTTGGATCTTATCGTCACGTATCCCAGTGACTTCCTGGCATGTCATGTGCAGGCACAGCTACTCCCACACATTGAGGCATCTCTTTCTCTGCCTTCTGTACATGATGATAGTGCAACTACTCTGGTCACCAGGACAACAGTCACAGCCTGTCAAACTGATAAGAAGTTGGTTGGTTGGGTTCATGCTCTGAAAGAGAGCAAGACAGGAGCAATAAATGTAATACACAGCAGTGAACTGCAAATGACATTTAGTTTTTGCCTTAGGGAGCTGAAATGGGAACGAACATGAGAGGTACAGAGAAAGAAGAGAGTCTGCTTGCTGTTTAACTTATAAAGCTCCTTAGTTAATGGGAAATGGGAGTTTTCCTGTGTAAGACACAGGAAATTCAGATGTGGGGCTTATCTCAGCCTTCTCATGAAAAGGCAGAGGTTTTGAGCCTGCACAGTCCCAAATTTCCAAAAGTGACCAAAGCTACTGTCATGCCAACAGGCTCAGAGGTTGTCACTACCAGGCACTAAAGTAGGGTGCAGCTAAAAGAAATAAACATTTACTTTGCTAGAATTGCCTTTCACTAACAGCAGCCAGGACTGCTATAGGACTTTGCTATCTCACCCAACATGTCTCTTGGCTGGATCTGAACCCACTGCAGGAGCAGGAAGCTATTTGTTCCTGCAAAACAGCCCCATCAAACAGTGCCAAGCTGCATACAGAAATGGCACGTGCTATTCAAGAAAAATATTTTGCCAAACAGGCATTTGGTAGTTATGGAAGTCAAGATGGACATCCAAACTTTTGAATGCTGTCAAAGCTCAGGGAAGCACAGAACTGGTATCTTTCACATTCAGTCTTACAACTTCAAGGTCCACAGTCTGACCATTTTGTCAGAGCAGAAATAGATACGAAAGACAGTCTGAAAAGAAAACCAGTTGTAACTCGAAGTCTATTTTATCTTGTTATCTATAGCCTATGGCAGGAGTACTTTATCAAAGTGGTAAAGCCTTGTCACAACAAAAAGGAACTGCACATATCCAGGTGAAGTACAAGAACTTTGGTAAGACTATCTCTCTAAAACTGATAAGAAACACTCTCCTGTCTCTTTGAGAGATACTCATGGACACAGCAGAGCTTCAACCAAAGCAAGACTTGTGTTAGCTGTGTTTAAAATAAGGTCTGAAAATCCAGGTCACACTGGTCAAACTGTAATCTAAATGGGAAGAGGGAAGCAATACAAATACTGGCAGACAACAGCTGGTGACAAAGGGGTAGGTGATGGTTAAAGGTCTCCTCCCCACCTTTGCTCCTCACTCCTTCCTAAACGCAGATGAATCCTGTTTCTCACCTGGTGGCCCAGCATTCAGACACCCTCTCCATCCCCCAGACTGTATATAAGGGAGAGGGGAACTTCAATCCAGCTGCACAAATATCTCTGTTTTGCCCAGGGATGAGATACACACATTCAAGGCCTTTCTAAGCACAACAAACCAATGCCAAGAAACAGAAGAATGTCATCAAGGCCATGTAGTTTGGTTTCTTGCATTTGTTTTGCATCTCACTCAGAATGGGCACGCTTAATGCAGGGAGACAAAGAGGCCTTTCTCAGCAAGCAACGTGGCCAGCACTCCTGGGTAACCCCGGGCGGCTGTCTGTCTGCCGGGTGCCCTTTACCCTGTTTAGATTGTAGCTGCATCCTTTTAGTATCAAGATGTGGATACTTAATGCATGCTCACCTTTGCCCCTAGCCACACACTGTTTCTGCTTAGCTAATGCTTTTCTTGGCAGGCTCAGCCAGGCAAGTCAGAGTTCAGCTTGCACCCCGATCAGCTGAAGCACAGATGACTGGCTCTGGGAAATGCTGCAGAGGCACGGCCAAAATGAACTGAAGTCGCTTACAAGGAGCTGCAAATTACCCTGTGTTGGTACTCAGCCAGTTTGATTCTGGCCCATGGCTGGGCATCCAGCCACAGCCAAAGGACAAATCAAAATAAACAAACCAGAAATTTCTTCTAGGGACATATTATGAAGAGATTTTCAA